AATCTGACTCTGGTGACATTAACCTTTAGAAGCCATATTAGCATTTACTTGAAGGCCATGTTTTGCGATGAACAGGCTACATCTAAGTCTAATAACTTGTAACCTAATAACACAGGTTTAATAAAAGTATAAAATGGATTGAGAAATTATCAGAAACCATAAACTCCCAGATTATAACTGTATAGCAAGGAACATATTATCTTGTTAATCTTCCACTTCCCAGTGATCTATGTTCACTTCATCATCCCTAGAATTCAGTCAAATTAATTATAGCACTAGTTCTTATGGCTTCCAAACAGAAATATTATTCATCTGCCCAAATCCTGATGATCACTTGTGGATCCAGGTTTCATTATATCACCTGGTGGAAACTTATTGAAAAAGTGACATTTTTGTTGAGAGATTTGCCTGTTTGAAAAAATAGAAAAAACAGCAGGCGTTGAATAACAAGTAGTACAGTCAAACTTAATCGGTGTCTATTAAGCTGTCATCTATACTCACCACTTTGCTAAGCCATGGAGCCTATAAAAGAGGGACAAGACACCAAACTTTATATAGCCCTATGGCACAATCGTGTTGCAAAACATTTAATAACATTGTAAAGCAGACTGTGATTGTCCAAATGAGACACATAGACAGTTCTGAAGTTCTGCTGAAAGAGGAAGATGTCAGCAGAGCTCTAAGGGAGTTAGCCCAAGGCAGATGCAAGACACAGATTGTTACCCAGAGACAATGGACTTGGGTAGGGGGCAGCCTTGGGGAACTCTGAGCAACTAAGGTAGCATGAGCACAATCAGAAAAGGGCGAAGAATAACTTACAAGGAGAAAATGAAAGAAGAAGAAAAAGCTAAGAGGATACTAGAGAACTGTCTTTACTTCACGGTTACTCTTCATTTGGAACAAATATATGTCCATTAGTATTACTCCTGTTACAGTTTAAATAAAAGGAATTTTAGAAGGTCAAGAACTAGGAACAAAATCAAACTGAAAAGTAGACATTTTAAGATTTTACATTATTATTATGTTAGAGCCATAGATCTGGGTCTGAGCTTCCTGGCAGTTAAAGAAAAAATGAGACATCATTATAATATTGTAACATTTTATTTGTTTAACCCAGGGATTCTAAAGCTGGGTCCATGTAATCCTTAACAGTTCATGAACACCCTTCAAGGAGCCCATGAATATCCTGAAATTTTATCCAAAATGTCATTTGTATCAAGTTGTTTTGAGGAAAGTATCCATAATTTCATCAGATTCTTGGAAAAGTGTGTGACCTAAAATGTTATGAACCACCGAAAAAATGGTGTTTAGTTTACTTAGCACTGTCACATAATTACATCATCTGAGGCCCGGGAAGATTAAGTCCAAGGTCAGAATTAAGAATCCAAGAGCCAAATTTGGCCAGGTGGCATTTTCCGAATAATGGAATTGCCAGTGTGTAAAAGTCTTGAAAAATGGAAGCATCTGGCAATATGGCGCTCTCAATCCAACATGATAATGACTAAAAGAGCCGAGAAATACGTGCTTCTGAACCAAGCAAGTGTCCTCTAGTTTATTCCATGCTCACCACTCCCAATGGTTCCAGTGCCTTTGCTCAGCTATTTCCTGACTGGCTGCTTTAGACATTTGTGTTTGAGAGACCCAAATTAAGTAATTTGTATAGAACTGATAACTGGATCTAGTTTTTAGCTCCAATTCAGAATGAATTATTTTGTCTGAGTGATTCTCAGACTATTTATCTTCCAGAAGCCTGCTGTTACAGGTTCACCATTGCTTGTTGCTACCATTTGTCTAACAGTCAAGTGTTGTTAACACATCTCTAAATAGTTTATGATATGTAGTTGCCTTTTTCATGCCTCTTTCATGAGCGTATGTACTCAAAATTTTGTATTTTATACATCTTTGCATTCATTCAGCAAGTGTTTCTTGACAATATACTATACTACTGTATATTGAAAGTGCCAGGCACTTTTTAGATTTTATATATATATATGCTAATTTTACATATATTATATATAACATATAAATATTTATTCTAGCAAAGTGATTTCTGATTTATTTGATAAAATTAAATGTATCAATGTTTTATAATATTCAGTAAAAAAGTGCCAGCAGTCCACGTACATTGTCGCATAAATGCAATCACTGTACTCTGCAAGCTCCGGCCCATTAAATAACTTGTGCCTATTTGTTCTATTTGTTAGCCTTCTGTGCATTAAAGTAAGATAATCTCTGGAAGAATCACATTTCTTTCCTGCTTAATTGTAGCTCAGCTAACACTGATTGATGTATTTCATTCTGTAATCTGATAGCTATATTATTCTGGTATATTACTTTCTCTTTCCTGGGGTTCCTACTTTTCATAAAATTTTTGATTTTCCATCAAAAACTTACCCACCCTTAGCCTTATCTCAGTAAATGACATGCTATCAACACAGTGCCTCGGTTTAAAAATTTAGGAAATATCTTTGATTTCTCTCCCTCATTCTCTCCTCAATATTTAATATTTTGATTACTATTGGCTTTATCTTCAAATGTATCACAAATTCATTAACTTTTCTCTCTCTACCTTGCTCTTACCCTGGTCCAAGGCACTAACATCTCTCTTCTAGGCCATTGCAGTAACTTCACTATTAGTTTTCTATTTCCAGTCTTGCAGTTTTATAATTCATTCCACACAGAGCAGCCAAAGTGATATTGTAAATGTAAACAGACCCTATAACTACACAGCTTAGGACTCCTATGGCTGCTTCTCCTACTTGAAGGAAAAGCTAAACCCCTTACTTTGATCTTTATGAGCTCATTATGTAGCCTTACTTTTTTTGTTTTTGAGACAAGGTCTCGCTCTGTCACCCAGGCTGGAGTGCAGTGGCACGATCTTGGCACACTGCAACCTCCACCTCCTGGGTTTAAGTGATTCTCCTGCCTCAGCCTCCCGAGTAGCTGGGATTACAGGCACCTGCCACCACTCCCAGCTAATTTTTGTATTTTTTAGTAGAGACACGGTTTCACTGTGTCGGCCAGGCTGGTCTCAAACTCCTGACCTTGTGATCCACCTGCCTCAGCCTCCCAAAGTGCTGGGATTACAAGTGTGAACCACTATGCCCGGCCACGTAGCCCTACTTCTGTCTGTTTTATGTCCTACCACTTTCGCCTGCGATCACTAAGCAGCACACATGGTGTAATTGCCCAGTGGGTTATTCTTGCCTAATGTGCAGATAGAGCCAATTTACTGAAACAGCAGTATTATAGTAGAGAAAGAGTTTAATAAATACAGAGCTAACCAAGCAGAAGGATGGGAGTTTGTTACTTAAATCAGCCTCCCTGAGAACTCAGATACTAGGGTTTTTATGGATAATTTTACAGGCATGGAGCTGGGGAAGGGGTGCTGCTGATTGGTTGGGAATGAAATCATAGGGGTGTGGAAAATGATTCTCATGCACTGATCCAGCCTCTGTGTGGGAGCCACAGGACCAGTTGAGTCATGAGTCACAGGTCTGAGTGGAGTCAGTCAGCAGAATGCAGAAGTCTGAAAAATATCTCAAAAGACCAATCTTAATTTCTACAATCTTAATTTCTACAATAGTGATGTTATCTTAGAAGCAGTTGGGGAAGTTACAAATATTGTGGTCTCCAGCACAGTAAAATGATTACAGAAAGGCAAGCTATGCCTACATCTTAGCAGAAATCAGGCCCTTCCCATAATCCTAATCTTATGGCTTTTCATTAGACTTACAAAGGTGGTGTCAGTCCCCAGACAAAGAGAGTGTCAGTTTTAGGGAGGGACTATTGTTATTCTTTCTTCAAAGTTAAACTAAAAACTGAATTCCTCCCATGGTTAGCTTGGTCTCACCCCAGGAATGAGCGAGGACAGCCAGCCTGTGAGACTAGAAGCAAGAATGGAGTCAGCCATGCTAGACTAGATTTCTCTTACTGTCATAATCTTTGCAAAGGTGATTTTACTGGCTTCTTGCAGAAATACTGAGAAGGCCAAGTCTGTTCCTACTTTGAGGGTTACATTTCTGTTCCATGAGTCAGGAACATTCCTCTTTTGGTTCTTTGTTTGGTAGGCTCTCCCTTTCAGATCTTCAAACAAATTTCATGTACTCAGGCACTTCATGACCATCCAATCTAAATGAGTCGCCCTCTCTTTCTGTGCCATTCAGTCTCCCTCATGAGCATGCTTCATGATTGTCTTGTTTTATATATTGTTTATTCTCTTTCCACTTGATTGTAATTTCCATGAAAGTAGGGAATCCTATTTCTTTACTCACCTGAATGCTTAGCTCAGGCACTTGTTCATCCAAATGGGTGCCTGACACATGGATGGCCAAAAATATTTGTTGAATGAATGAGTGAATGAATGACTGAGAAAAATGGCCAACATTTTCAGGATCTAAGCGTGCTGACTCATGACCTATAGTTTACTTTCTGACAATCTGAGCTACTTAGTACATAAAGGGTCCATGAGGTCAGTTGGTTGAATTTGAAAAATGATTGATTGACCGGGCGTAGTGGCTCATGCCTGTAATCCCAGTACTTTGGGAGGCTGAGGCAGGCAGATCACTTGAGGTCAGGAGTTCGAGACCAGCCTGGCCAACATGGCAAAACCCCATTTTTACTAAAAATACAAAAATTAGCTGGGCTTGGTGGTGTGCACCTGTAATTCCAGCCACTCTGGAGGCTGAGGCAGGAGAATCACTTGAACCCTGGAGGTGGAGCTTGCAGTGAGCCGAAATTGCACCACTACACTCTAGCCTGGGTGACAGAGTGAGACTTTGCCTCAAAAGTAAACAAATAAGTAAATAATTATAAATTTTAAAAAGAAAGAAGAGTGATTAATTATGCTTCAGGGTATCATTGTGAGAAGAACTCAGTGGCTTATTTGATTTGGGTTCACAGGGTATTGCCTAGCCATGTAAGCAACCATACTCTTTCCTAGTGTCTATCAATGTAGTAGAAAATAAATTTACAGATTCTTTTATTTCTTTTTTTCCTAGCGTAATTAACTGCCTACATTTCAAACTTATGTGATGACTTCAGGGGAAAAGAGATTCACAAGAACCAGTAACAGGGAAGCTTAAATAAGCTTGGAAATCTTTAAACTTTCAATATAGGTAAGCAGTGATCATTTTTAATCATCCAAATTCGTAAGATTTGATCAAAGGAAAAATATAGTGCCTTGGTGATATGCAGGAAGTATGAAATGCATGCTACTAATGATTGAACAGTACATCTTTGATATGGTAGAAAAATGTAGTTTTATTTGTTTTGTTTTTGACTTAGGGTTTGTCAGTCTTAAATAATGAGAGTCAGAAGAGATTATTAAGAATAGCATTTATTCCAGTGCAACGGTTAAGGATAGCCATCCAGGAGACACAACTCCAAACAAATGAGATCAGTGTTTTAAAGTGAGGAAGGTAAAGTTTCACTTATATAGGCAGAAAGAGAAATTTTAGCAGATTGTGTGTTTCATATGAGACCAGTGCATATGTTACAGTGATTTGATTGGTTATAGATTGCTACATTCTGAGGAAGATGACTTTATTACTTCCTAAGGATGGGTGGACAGTGATCTGAGGGACTCTAATCTCTGGCACTCTTTGGTCATAATTATTTCCAGGAAAAAAAAGTCAGAAGTTGCAGCTGCATGTCGTGTGACTCCGACGGCATAGCCACATCTCTCTCAAAGCTCAGAATAATTTAAAGTTCCAGCAACCTTAAGTTCAAATTTCTTAATTTCACAGACTCTAGAGATCAGTGTAATTCAACTCTAAGAAATAATAAGTAAAACCTTTTCCCCTAATTAATTAAAAGATAATGGTGGATTTAATTCATTTTCATTGAAAATGAAGAAATGAGTTACTTTAATAAATACCACATTTTAGCTCTTGGGGCAGAGAGAAAAAAATATTTTAAATTATATAGAAACATAAAATGCTCTCTAGTGCAAAAGTAAAAAAACATAGAAGATTCCCACTGAGACAAAAGATTTTGAAAAAGATTACAAGAAAAATTATTGCAAGACAAGGTACTGTTTTATTCTTAAAGAAATATGCTTTCTTACTTTATGAAACTAGTCTGAAACTGTCTGTAAATCTACATGGAAGTATACTGAGTGCAGCAACTTAGAGAAATCTAGGCATTATGAATAAAGGATCTCCAGATTTGCTTTGAATGCCAATGGATGTTAAGTTGGTAAAACTTACTAATAATAGCACTAGCATTTATGTAATACTTTATAGATTACAGACATTTTCAGATACATTATCTCATTTAGTTTCCAAAGTAATTATTGGGAAAATCAGAATACATGCAGCATTATTTTACTGATAGAGAGAGGTTGGAGCAGGTCCAAAGTCACTTAATATTAAACTGCAATAAGTAAAATCTTTCTTCCTGCAGCTTAACATCATTTTCTTTGGGAACAAAGTCTATCATTCCATCAGAGAATATTGGCTTAGCCTGAATACCGCAGGAGACTTAACACATCGATTTACATTTGCACTAAGATGGAAATGAGCAATTAATGATCCTTTTCTGTGGGAAGACTTTGGGAAAGGGTGACGGAAAGGGTCAGGAGCCCATAACCCTTGAAAATGCAGATGCCTTTAAGAAGAGGAGGTTGCAGGAAGGAAGTAGGAACCCCTGAAGGGAAATGTCTCCTTATTTGCAGGTCCTGGGAGGCCACTCTCTCCTTAATTTAAGCTATGGTAGTGAATATCATATATGAAGGTGTATTTATGTTCTTGAAATCTTTAATCTGTGTTGATTCTTTGAAATAATGAATTAAGGCATAGTTTAAATTTGGTAAGTGATGTTTAACCTGAGATGTGAAGAGTAGGAGGTAACTTGTTAAAGAGGAGGGGGAAGCAGCACATTCCAGGAAGAAACAGCAGTACATGCCATGGCCAGAGGCAAGAGATGGTATGGTCCATTTTATTTCTATGTTCCAGAGTAATCCACTGAAATATGAATTTGTGTTTTGTTTGCACAGCTTAGGCATATGAGAAACACAAGAGGTATTTATTTTTCTCTCTCATACCTCTTTGTCTCAGTTCAGCTTTAGGGTGAATGGAGATCTGGGGCTTGTCTTACAGAGTTAAGAAAAGTTTGTAAAAGAATACAGTCCAGCAAAGGAGGTGGGCTTTGGGCTCTAAGATCAGGAACCAGACATGACAAAAACTGAAAAAGGCTCCAGACCTTGAAGGGTTGGTGATTAGAGGCTCTGAAAGTAGCAAATTTGTACTTCATCTCCTCGTGGCATCCCAGGAGGGTGTCAGGGGCTCTAAGAAGAATGACTGGACCCAACTACCAAAGCTGCCATCCTCCAAAAGGAAGTCAGTGCATGAGCATGTTACCAGCACAGGGGAAGCAAACTTACTTCTACCCATCTGGAGGTTGTCTTTTTTTTTTTTTTTTTTTTTTTGAGACGAATGTCTCTCTCTGTCACCCAGGCTGGAGTGCAGTGGGGCAATCTCAGCTCATTGCAACCTCCACCTCCCAGGTTCAAACAATTCTCCTGTTTCAGCCTCCTGGAGTAGCTGGGACTACAGCTATTAGCCACCACACCTGGCTAATTTTTGTATTTGTTTTAGTAGAGACACTGTCCAACTCCTGACCTTTGGTGATCCACCCGCCTCGGCCTCCCAAAGTGCTGGGATTACAGGCGTGAGCCACCGCACCAGACCACCCATCTTGCGTTTTTAGCTGGGACTCATTAACCAAAAAGACAGATTAAGAAGAGAAAATCAGTTTATTATAATGCATGCAATGCACATCACACAGGAGAAACCTCAACAGAGTAACTCAAATCAGTGACTTAGAACTCTAGCTGATATAGCATCTTCAAACAAAGAACAACAAATTTGTCAAGAAATGACAGGACAAAGAAAAGTGATTTTAGGCTTCTAAGAGTGGCAGACAGTAGAAAGGTAAAATATGTAAGGAAATGAATGGAGTAACGTTTGTTTGCAGATTTCTCTGGTGTTATCTCTAGGCTGTTTAAGTGTCTAGAGCTGTCTCTAGTAAAGGAAAATTTATATCCTGCCTTTAGGCAGGAAAGAAGGAGGGTAGAGAGAGCTTTTCCTGCATTTGCTGCTGCTTAATTACCTTCAGCTCGAAAAAATTTTTATGTAAATTAGGCATATTTTGGGGTGACATATTCTGGTTTCCTTCACCAGCAAAGCCTCCTTCCAAAGGAAATTAAGACTTGAACAATAAGCTGGTTCTTGGGTGGGCCAAAGGTAAGACCCAGTGAATCTAAGGAAGATGGAGATGGGATTGGGAGGGGGATATATGTTTTGTTTTTCTTAGAGGCGTGCAATTGGTGTAAATACTCATGTCTTCATCCATTTGTGTTGCTATAAAAGAATACCCGAAGCTGGTACTTTATAAAGAAAGGAGGTTTATTTGACTCATGGTTCTTCAGGCTGTACAAAAAGCATGGCACCAGCATTTTCTTCTGGTGAGGGCTTCTGGCCGCTTCTGCTTATGGTGTGCAGAGATCACATGTCAAGAGAGGAAGTGAAATAGAGAAGAGGAGGTACCAGGCTCTTATCAACAATCAGTTCTTGCGAGAACTGAGAGTAAGAACTCACTTACTCACTCAAGAATAGCACCAAGCCATTCATGAGAAATCTGCACCCACGGTCCAGCACTTTCCATCAGGCCCCAACTCCAGCACTGGGGATCAAATTTCAACATGACACTTTTAACAAACCTTATCCAAACTCTAGCATTTCTCCCCTGGGCCCCTAAATCTTATGTGCTTCCCACATTGCAATCATTCTGTCCCAATGGTTCCCACAAGTGTTAACATGTTCCATTACCAACCCAAAAGTCCAAAATCTCGTCTGAGACTCAAAGCAAACTGAGTTTGTAAAATCAAAATCAAGTTACTTAATCTCAAGACACAATAGTACGACAGACATTGGGTAAGCATTCCCTTTCCCAAAGGGATAATTTGACCAAAAGAAAGGGGTAACAGGCCCCAGGCAAGTCTGAAACCGAGCAGGGCAGACCTTAAATCTTAAAGACCCAAAATAATCTCCTTTGACTTCATGTCCCATAGCCACACTAGTTCAGTGGGTGGGCTCCCAAGGCCTTGGGCAGCCCTGTCCCAATGGCTTTGCTGGGCATAGTCCATGTGGCCACTCTCACTGGTTAGAATCCAACGCCTGTAGCTTTTCCATGCTAAGATTGCAGGCTGTTGGTGACTCTACCATTCTGGAACCTGGAGGACAGCAGTACTGGTCCCACACTGCCCTAGTAGAGGCCCTCTGCAGTGGCTCTGCCCCTGTGGCAGACTTCTGCCTGGGCACCGAGGCTATCTGATAGGTCCTGTGAAATTGAGGTGGAAGCTGCCAAACCTCCACCACTCTTAAATTTTGCGTGCTTGCAGACTTAATTCCACATGTAAGCTTCGCAAGGCTTATGGCTTGCACCCTCTGGAGTGGCAGCTAGAGCAGTATCTGGGGCCCTTTCAACCATGGCTAGAGTCAGAGTAGCTGGGATGCAGGAAGCAGCAACCTAAGGTGGCACCTGGCAGTGGCGCCCCAGGTGTGTACCCCAAAGAATTATGTCCTCCTAGGCCTCTGGGCCTGTGATGGGAGGGGCTGCCTCAAAGATTTCTGAAGTGGCTTTTGGGCCTTTTTCCCATTGATTTGACTGTAAGCACCTGGCTACCTTTTATCTGTGCTGATCTCTCTAGCAAGTGCTCCTTTTTTCTCTACCACATGGCAAGCCTGCAAATTTTTCAAATTTTTATGCTCTGCTTCTCTTTTAATTATAAATTCAAATTCTATGTCATTCCTTTTCTCCAACGTCTGATTATAAGCTGTTGAAAGCAGCCACATCACTTCGTAAACACCTTGCTGCTTAGAAATCTCTTCTGCTGGATACTGTAGATTGCCACTCTAGGGCATGCATGGAATGCAGCCAAATTATTTGCTATAATGTAGCAAAGGTGACCTTTGTTCCAGTTCCTAACATTTCCACCTGAGACCTCATCAGCACAGCCTTTACTGTTTATATGTCTTTCAGCATTTTGGTCACAACCACTTAACCAATGTCTAAGAAGTTCCAAACTTTTTCTCATCTTTCTACTTCTGAGCCC